GTTTCAAGGGTTTAAATGCAAACATGTTGGCCAAACACTGTGGGCATATGAAGATGGTTTTGTTCCCTTGAGAAAATTTGCAAAGAAAAATGAGAAGTCAGTTGCTTCCTTTTAAAGGTCTGGGGATGTGTTAAAAATGAAACAAAACAAAATCGGGTATCTGAAATGTTTTTGATTGCCAGTAAACAGAAACAAAATTTTAGTTTTCTGCTGTTAACGTTATTTTTTCAAAGTAGTAGTTAGGATCGAGTTTATTTTCAGGAGAAATTTGAGCATAAATAAATAAAATTGTAAAAATCCATTTGAATAGTTATTTAGGAATATATTATAAGAGACTCCTAGCTTATTAAAATGGAGGAAAATCAAAAAGCTGAAGTCCTTCCTGGAACATTTTAGCATCGCAGGAAGTTGCTAGCAGTGTTATATTTTTTAGGAAGTTGTTAGGTTTCATTTATACTGGTAAGAGAAGTACAGCAATGTGGTGATGTTAAGCCTATTCCGTAACATGAACACACTGAAAAAGCTGTTTCAATTCAATGTATGCAGTGCACCATGCAAAAGAGTCTTAAGTAATCATATGCTAAAATAAGGGCATAGTGGAGTCCTAATCAAGAAGGATTGCTGACTGAACCCACGTCGTTTATTAAAGCTACGTGAGTGGTGTTCACCCAAGCAAAGCAGAGTAAGCTTGGATGGACGTGAGTAGAAGTGCAGCGCGTGCCCAGGTGCTGGAGTTAGTGAGGGTGCAATGTCTGAGCTTGGTATTTGGGACCTCCTGATGTTTGGTGGATTCTTGGGGTCGAAAGCAGGGAGGGAGAGGAGGAGCCAGGAGTCTCGTTTGGTGGCATGTTGGCTGCAGCTCGCAGAGGCTCCAGCCAGGAATCCAGCGGCAGGGCTGTAAGCTGCAGGTTGTCGGTCCCAGCTGGGCCTCTCTGAGCCCTTGTGGTTTCCGACCTCGCGTGGCTGTAGAGGCACCAGGCCTGGCTGAGGCTCGGGGTGCTCCCCTCGCTGGGCGCGTGTCCGCACGTGCTGGAGAAGGGGCAGTCTGTGCCATGCGGAGTTAAGAAGCATTGAAGATCCCTCCAAAGCTGCAGAGCTGGCTTGAGCGCGAAGGGCAGGAAGCAGCGAGCGAGGCCCCGCGCGTGGAGCTGCTGCCGGCGCTCGCAGGGGCCAGCTGCCCGCGCTGCCGCGGCACGCGAGAGCCCGGCCGCGCTTACACCGGAGAGCTGCTTCCTAAGTGCCACGCTTTAGTCACCTGCCCTTCCCAACAAGCGATGTGGAAAATGATCAGACAAGGTATGAGTTCAGTCCTTGCCCTCCTCCGCAAATATGTAAATGTCCGCGCGGGAAGGGGGCAGGCCTCGTGAAATGACCCAAATCGCTTCCTCCTCACTCGCCAAAGACACCGGAGCACAGCATCACGCGTGCCTGCGATAGCACTAGTGACACCCGTAGCTTCAGTTTTGTGGACGTGCTTTAAATAAGGCTTTTCTGAATAATGCTGAGAATCGTGTATGAATTACAGCAATTCTCTAGTTGAAATATGCCATATGTAACACACTTTTTATTAAGCATCTTTTAATATAATTAGCTGATAGTGCGTTTGACGTGAAATCCCTAACTATCCCAAAGAAACCGGACATCTGGTTGCTTCTGCTTCTCTAGTAGTGGGACTTAGAGAAGCTGTTTAGGCCAAAATGGTAACTTACTTCTCTAACATTAGAGATGTATGACCAGTGGTTTTAGTGCGTTTGCCAGCAGCTAAGAAATCCTTCCTTCTTATTCCTTGATTGCAGTTTCACTACATCCAAATTTGAGAAGTAATTTCCTTTCATCTCTTCCTCTTTGCTCTGTGTCTTCCTCTGCTGTGTGGCCTTTACTGCAGACCAGTAGTAGGTATAGGTTCATTAACACTATTATAAATATAGTCAATACTCTTTTAGTGGACTCCAGCTGAGCCCAAACTGACTCACTGCCCTCCAGGGTGTAATCAGAGACTTAATTACCCTTGTAGTGCTCAACAGGAGCAGCGTTGTGGGCAGTGTTCCTCTTTGCCTTGGAAGGAGGAGGATCCTTCCTCTACTGGCTGCCATTTTCGAGCTTCAAGGAAGGGATTTGAGATGGGTCTGCAGCTGTGTAATAACTGAAGATAAAGCAGGTCTTTTGCAGATGACAATTGGGTTGAACCCCTTTCAATACAGTATTCTCATGGGTTTTCCTTGGATGTTGAAAGTATTCCTCCTTTTCTGAGGACGGAAATGTAACTTGAAAGAGGGAAAAAGAGGAGGGACAAGCCATCCTTCAGTTAGGTGGCGTGTGTTTCAGTGTTTCATCTCTCTTCAAACCACAGGAGCGATCTGAACGGCAGCTCCTGCCCGCATTGGTGTGGCGAAAGTCACGGTCCGCCCTGTGCACCATGGGTGAGGGGCTGGAGCACTGTGTTGTTTGGCAAACCAACTGAATTCCACGTTTTTCTCGTTGCAGTAATTGCTGTGAAACTTGTGTGGAAAGAGATCTAGCTCAGGAATGGTATGGTCGGGTGTATGGTTGATGTTCTACAAGACGCCCCTGTCAGTATTTCAGTGTTGCTGTAATTTCTCATACTAATGTTGTCTTGGATTTAAAGCTAGATGCTATGCTGGATAATGCAGCAGTCGTGTATTCAGTGCTTGATGGTCTCTTCTGGCTTTCATGTATTATGCTGTGTACTCTATTCTGGAGACTTGTCATGTGTCAACACTGTGGCTTCTAGAGAGGTCTCCCATTTCAGCAGTTTTGTAGCAGGGTATAAAGTGATTTACTCTCTGAGATTTAATCTTGAGAGCCTCATGCAGCTTTCCACCACTCAGTGCTGTGAGTTTCTAGCTGGAAAGTATGGGTGAATAATATATGAATTCTCTCCTATAGGAGAGTTAGTGGGTAAGAGAGCCTACTTGGAGGCAAAGAGAAGAAATAGATAAAACTTTTTAACAGTAGGTTAAGACATCACTAGCTCCAAGTGTGATTATGGATACATCCCATATGGGGTATGTTCATTAGGAGGATCTTCAGTGACTTAGTGGTTTGGTCCCTTTCTGTCGTTACCCTCCTTATTTACTGGAACACTTGTGAAATATTTGCCTTGCCCCGCTGGGGGCTATTACCTGTCCCTAGGAAATCAGTGGGGAATACAGAGCCATGGCAGCACTGATCCCCTTAACTGCTTGTGTCACGGCGAGAGCTTCCTTGCAGTCAGCCACCTCTGTAAGTAGACACTCAGGCATGCTATAAATATCTAAAACCAACAACAACAGAAACAAACAAAAAAACAAACCCACAGAACAGACATCATCAAAAAGAGTTGGAGAAGGAGGCAAAGTAGGAGGCATCATTCAGAGCAGAGTCACAAATTCTGGGTTAGTCATCACTTGTCTCCACAGCGATGAAGGGACTTGCTTAAACATTGCATCACTTGCAAATATTAGGCACTGAAGCCATCGTCTGAGCCTTTAAATGAGATTATGAAGATTGTTAGCCTTCCAAGAGAAAAAATGTTAAAAGACAAAGGGACTAAGCAGACTTACTGATTGCAATGTGTGAAATACATCCTTATTCACCCTTGATTCTATTTAGATGCTGTCAAGGTAAACGTTACATGTCAAGCATCTTACGTAGAATTACTGCTTTCCATTCATTTTCCCTAATTATTTGTTAAGGGAAAATATTTGTTTCTCTAATATAATTCATTATAATTTTTTAATGATTTCATTATTATGTAATTCAATTTGACTATTTTGAAACAAACTGGTCAGTTTAAATCCGTAGTTACACTCCAGTACAGTGCTGCTAAGGAATTAAGCATTAAGGATTTGGTCTGAAATTTGCTAGTTGTTTGTAAAATGTATTTGTTACCTCCTTTAACTTAGGCCTTGCTGTTGCAATGGTTAGGCTGGCAGTCACTGGGGACACAGGCAGGTTTTAGTGCACATGCAAGCAGTGTTTCATGCCGTGCCCTTCCTGTTGGTACGCGATCTGCAGTAGGTGCGTGGCAGGAGGAGCGGGTCCCACGCGCGGTGCTAGCCCTGTGTACCTACATACACACAGATAAAAGTAAATTCACAGATTAATACTGTGAGAACCAGCAAATGTCAGTGAGATATATATTACAGTTAGGAGCTTAACAGTTACCTTCACTGGGTTTAGCATATTTAGCATGAATTATATTGGGTATACGTATTGTTTTAATTTGAAATACATAGCCTATGTTCACTTTGCAATCACCAAAGCTTTCATATGAAAAGAACTCTGAGACATCTTTGCTTGTGTCTGTGGACAAAGCTAATGGAAAAACCCAGACCTCTCATCCACATATTTATCTGAAAGATATGTTGTATATCTGCAGCTGATTTTCTAGAATGCTGATTAGCTAATACTGTTCTTGGCATGCAGCTTATCCATCGTGTGGTAGAACGCCATCTGAATTTCAATTTAGTTTTCCAAATGATGTTGAACTGCTATTCCTTTAAGGCTCTTCTGGCCATTTGGGGACCCGGTGCAGACAGTTGAGCTGCAGTCTAGTCTCAAAATCTAATTGAATTGATATGAGGCAGCTGAAGCAGTGATTGCTGAAGAGCTTGAGATGGATTGCAAAAAAACTCCCAAGTGATCCTGAGCAACTTGCATAGTGTTCTTGTCTGAAAGTCTACCTATGTGCTTATTTTCACTGTGACTGGTAGCAGAGCTCTGTGGTAAAATTCCTATATCTCGATATATTTTCTCTATTCTTAAGTCAAGGACCTCATTAATTCTGTCTTGTTTCATATGGTCGCATTGCTATTAATAAACAAAAACAAGGAACAGCAAGTCTTTAAAAGTACTAGGCTCATAATTTAAAAAAAAAAAGAAAAAAAGAAAAAGGAGTAAGGTAATGCCTGATGTTAATCCCCTTTTGCCCACTAGCAACTTCCCACTATTTCAACTTCTGAAACCTCACCCTCTCTCTCACACCTTTGTTTTTACAGTGATGGGTCTTTCCCTTATGATTCTGTTCCTTGGCAGCAAAATACCAACCAGCCACCAGGTTCTTTATCCGTGGTCACCACAGTATGGGGTGTGACTAATACCTCTCAAAGCCAGGTAAGCTTTGGTTTGTGCTCCCTCTCCCCCAGGTGTGCATAGAGAGTCATGTTTGCAAACTTGGAAGTTTTTTTGGAAAACACCTGTGTGCTCGGGAACGTTGGCTGAGCTCTGCTTGTCAGGCATGCTGTGTTTTCTCCAGCTATGTTTGCTTTGGTGGTCGCAGGAGATCTGCCAGAGCTTGACTCAGTGACTGCATGGTTTTAGCCCTGCATGGTTTTAACACTAAAAGCATGGCTTGGGAGAATCTCCAACTTCTTGGGAATTTCAGGTGGCATTTGAAGAGCTCTTCCCATAAAACTAGTTTTTCCAGCTAGATTCACAACACTGCAGTTGCTGTCATTTTTACCCAGGGTTGTGTCATACCAGCAGTGGGCTTTGAAATCCTCTGCCAACTCCACCTCAACACCGAGACTCCAGCTACCGGCTAGAGGCTTGTGCCATTCTCCGACCCTCCTGTTAATAGTTCCTTACTTTGCAAGAAAGATTTCAGTATGCATTGGAGCAAAAGCATGATCTCCTGCCTTCCAGATGAGAGCCGTATTAATTGGATTTTCATTCTGTTCTCTCTGTCCTTACCTCTCTTTTTCTTCTCCAATGCATATTGAATTATGCTATGAAAAGAGAAGCAGCTTTAGCAAAAGAGACTTTCGCCAATTATGAGTGATAGTCTGCCCTCCAAGGGATGTGGCACAAATCATGCTCTCAGACACTGGATCCTTTTCTTATTCCATGGATGAAGTGCTGCTCTTACACCATGAATGAAACACATCACCATGTATTATGTCTGCAAACAGAACATAAATATAACCTGACTGCTCCAGTTTTTTTTTCTCCATATTGAGCATTAGTAGATTCCATATGAGTTTTTTTTCTAGCTTTTTTCCCCTTATGTTTAGGAAAAAATATTCTGATATTAAAAAAAAAGCTAATTTAATTGTGGATTGAGCCATTTAAAACATAGAAGACATTATTTTGGGGCCAAGTCACATAGACAACCGCATGAGATTTACATGAGTACTGGTTGTAAGAAAAACTTTGTTCAAAAAATAAAGACAGGTGACAAGCTACCAGACCTATAATATCAACTATTTTTGTTGATTTCTTTTGACATCTTAAAAGAAAAGGTATCCCATCCAGGAGAGAAGCAACTGAGTAAATATTAACATGTAGAACTGGAGTGGCATTGAACAGAAAATGGAGTTAGTTTTCCCACTAAAAATAATACTCATTTCACACTTATAATAATAAAAAAGATTGACTCAGAATGTTTCATACTATCTTGAGACACTGTTGTGTTTTTAAACTCTTCACGGTACTTCAGAGCAATGTGCTATATGAGAGAAAGCGCTTTGGTGAAAAGAAGGAAATGCTTTCTTCTGCGTGCCTGCACAAAAGGGGTGAAGCTTTCAAATTGAAACGAATTTTGGTTATAGCTATTCTGAGGATATAGAGATAAGTGAGTCCTTCTGCTCCTGGGGGTAAAGGAGGGAAGAGCTGGACTCCTGGATTCCAGTTCACAGATTCCCAAAACAGGTGAACTCATCCCCGAGGTGTGGCTCGGCCTTTTACAAAAATTCTGACCACTAATTTCTTCCAAAATCAAGAGAGATGTTCATGCAGGTAGTCCATGAACCATCATGCTTCTGTTCTCAGTAGGAGTCACAGCATTTTTAGTTCAAATAAAAAACAAATGCTTCCAACAAGCAAACCCAGTGCTTTTAAAAACAGAAGAGTATTTTGTTCCCTAAGAAGTGCTAAAAAATAAAGGATAGACTTCTGTGCACTTTGGAGAGATTAAGATTCAAGAAAGGATTAAGTTGTTGAAATACTTTCTTACACAGTTTTTGCATCTGTAATTTCCTTTACATAATGCCTGTGGGACTGAATATCTGCAAGACATGTTCAAGAACTGCATCAAAAACAAGGCACCTTCTCTTAATCAGATGCGCTTGTCACCTGTAGAGCATGTTCTAGCAGTTCTTTACCTTTTAAAAGAAGTATGTTTGTTACCTAGCTGGAATCCAGACTAGCTCCTATGAAGGAGAATTAGAGATCACGCTCTTGTTAGTTTGAAATGGTGAGAAAGCTCATCAGAAATCATTACGCTTGGCCTCTGAAGAGGTGCACACTTCTACAGTTCAGAATAAGGCATGGTTATGTTGTAGTGTACTGATTCCAGCAAATCCACTTAACTTAAAGCAGTTTGCTTGAAGTAAATCAAGGTGCAGCTCCTCATTCTGATATTTCTACTCACAGGTGCTGGGAAATCCAATGGCAAATGCTAACAACCCTATGAACCCAGCAGGAAATCCTATGGCTTCTGGGATGACTACCAGCAACCCTGGAATCAATTCCCCTCAGTTTGCTGGGCAGCAGCAGCAATTTTCAGCGAAGGCAGGCTCCACTCAACCATATATACAGCAGGGCATGTATGGGCGGCCCAATTATCCTGGAAGTGGAGGTTTTGGTGGGAGGTAAGATTTGTTTGTGTGAGATGGGAAATGATGTACACATTTGGTGAAACCTCTTGTTGTAGTGACCAGATGGAAGAGTTGTGGGCTTATTTTGGTTATATAGTCTCAGTAGCTATTTTATGCTGGCTAGCTGAAGCGCATTCTCTTTCCACAGCTTCAGAAATCAGCTACCCAGACTGCAATGAAATTCATCACAGTAAATGGAAATGGCTTAGGTCAATCAATTAGCTCTAATAAACCCCCAAAATAAAGTTTTAATTAACAGAGATTGTTAAACAGACCACAGGCTTAGGAATAATTAACATTTAATAAGGCCAGGATGTGAGAGGTATTGATGGTATAATTTCTTCGCCTGCATGGAGAAGTGAGCTTGAATACTTGCACCAGGAAGTTCCTGGGTATGGGATGTTTTTGACAAAAGATGTGCTCCACAGGAGAAATTTGAAGAGAATTTGAGGGGTGGAGATCTCTGTTAAGAGATGAATTCAGTGGGGTTTTTTTATTATTATTTGGGAGAGGTGAATGCTGTATTTGTGAAATATGCCAAAATTTAATAGTCTGGATTGTGTTAGATTTTGACTTTCTGTGCCCATCCCATGTAAATAAAGATATTAAGACCAGCTCAGCTGGCCTGGAGCAACACTTGCATCCCACTTACCTGGATCAGATCCCATCCCACCTGGAACAGTTCCAGGGGAGCTCATGCAGAAGTACAAATATAAACATAGACACTAGTTGTGCTTTAATTTTCTTTCTTTTTTTTTTTTCCTTCTTTCTTTCTTATTTCGCCTGTTAGTTACCCTGGAGGCCCCAACGCCCCTGCAGGAATGGGGATCCCACCACACACGAGGCCACCCGCAGATTTCACCCAGCCAGCGGCCGCAGCCGCTGCCGCTGCAGTTGCAGCTGCAGGTGCTACAGCAACAGCTACAGCTACAGCCACCGTGGCAGCCCTTCAGGAAACCCAGAACAAGGACATGAACCAGTATGGACCGGTAAGAGAGGAACCCTTATGCTTCGTTCCCGCCTGCTTTGGACACTTAGGAGGAGGGAGTTTTCCTTACTCCTCCACTCTTTAGGGCACCTACTCTATTTTTTGTGCATGGATGTCCTATAAATGCTTACAAGAGGCTGCTGGAATGCGTGTCTGTGCATATCAATCAATCACCAAAGTACCCAGGGTTTTCCCTAACATGTGTTGCCTACCTGTGTTTTGTAGTTTGAAGATTACTACTCAAAACAGTCAAAGATTAGCTAAAGGTACACCCATATCTAACATGATATATTGTTCCTGCCCTGTGGGCTTTTAGACATGGAAGCCAGTGAGATGTTGCTGAATCTTGGAAGAGGTTTTATGCCACTTGTGTAATGAATAGTTCAGTGTTATTGATTACAGTAGGTAGTTTCTTTTCTCCACTTAAAAACTGTTTGCTCTTTAATAACATCCATGAGAACAACTTTGAGAGGTGTTTTTGGTGCATCATGCATGAGACGACTTCCTGTACTATTTTTTCTTAAAATAAATGAGGGTTTGATCAGTTCAGTTTAAAAATAAATTAAAAAAAAAAGGCTCAATGAGTTTTGAAGTGCATGGGCCCATGTGTCTGATGACATGAGCAATTATAATCTGTTGGAAAGTGTGTATACAAAGCCAACTGCCTCACTCCCATTGCCTTGGAGGAGTAGACCAGCCTCTTTAAAGGATTTAATTGCTCACCATAGACTAATGCCTCCGTCTCTCTTGTACAATTTCAACTGAACTTTTATTATAAATAACATCACCACCCATCCAAGGTTGAAGATCGTTTAAGGAAAATGCGACATAACTCCGTCCCTTTCCCCTCCCCAAAAAGCATGTTCAGCCCTCCTCCCATTTTAAATGCATGTCGCATTTTATTCTTTTTTTTTTTTCTTCTTCTTCCGTTGAAGGTTTGTTCCTCTTTCCAGATGGGTCCAACTCAGGCTTACAACAACCAGTTTATGAACCAGCCTGGTCCTCGTGGCCCTGCTTCTATGCCAGGCAACATGAACCCGGCGAGCATGGGAGGAGGAATGACGCCTTCCAGCATGAGTGGGCCACCCATGGGCATGAACCAGCCTCGGCCCCCTGGCATGAGCCCCTTCAGCACCCACGGGCAGCGGATGCCCCAGCAAGCCTACCCGGGCCCTCGGCCCCAGTCCTTGCCTATTCAGGGCATAAAGAGACCGTACCCGGGAGAGGTAGGAAAGTCCCTAATGCTTTCTTAGTTTGCATGCAGTGTTATTTTGGCTGAAAGCTGCAGCGTGCTGGATAACGCGTGGCATACATGCCTTCCCAGCAGGTGGATCTTTGCTTCAGCCCTCACGGCTGCTCGAAGGCGAGCGACTGCAGTGCTTGCTGCTTAGCCTGTAAAATGCTCTGTTTGCACCTTGGTGTGTTGGTCAACATGACAGTCGCTAAAACCAGTAAAGGCCCAAAACTGGCTGAGCCCTCAAAATGTCACGTCATGATTCTCGTGGTAGATGGTTTTATTGCATCTATGTATTCATGTAGCTTAACTTAAAGGAGAGATCGTGAAGATGAAATACTTCATTTTGAGCACATTGCATATGTTATCTGCATTTCCTCGGATTGTTTTAATGTTCTAAGGAAATGCAGGGCATATGTTGTGTAAACATCAATAGTAATAACATTTATTTTAAAGATCAATTGCTTTCCAAACTTCTTGAGGCTTGATTTTCGTAGGTGCTGGGATGAATATAAATCATGCTGAGCTCAAATTCCTCAGTGCTTGCACTTATCTAATATGAGTTTATTTGGAGTGTGGTATTTCTGTCTACATTCCCATGCTGTTATGTGAGAGCTGAGTGGGTTCCGAGAAAAAATTATAATCCCTTGGACTTGTATTAAGTCTTTGGGCAAGACACTTCAGGTCTAAATGAAAAATCTGTCTCATAGACGGATGAGAAAAAAAAAAAACATCACTAATGTCCCTCAGTTACTATTGTAGTTAGGTGGAATCTTACCACCTTTACAAATCTTACCACCAAATAATAACTTCAGAGATAACCTCTTGGTGGAATTATGTATTGAAAGAAGACTCCAGAAAAATCTATTACTCCTGCTGTAGAGCTCTGAATATTGTTGTATCACTTGGACTACAGGAATGGTAGTAAGAATTCGTAGTAAACAGTACAAGAAGAGTACAATGGTGTACATAAACTGCAGTGAACATTTATTATTGAGCTACATTTAAGTATCTAGGATTCAATTTTCCTGGCCTGCGAATGAATTTTTCAACAAATAATAATAATTAAAAAGAAGCAGATATAAAAAAATATGTGCTCCTGCAGGAGTTGCTTCTCTGAGAAGGCTTTTCTGCTCTGTAAACACTGTCACACTTACTCTACAAATAACAAAACACAGAATGCGGCTTTTCAGATAATTACTTTTTATCTTCAGATTTCATGTTTTAGGGAAGACTGTAAATCCCTTTTTGCTGCTTCAGAAGCAGGTGTGTCATTGCAAGGAAATAAAATCATGACCACAAGAAGTTAATACTGAACAGTGCCCTAAGTGTTCCAGGCTTGTTTGGCTGGCAACACACACATCCAGTCGATGATATTTGCTCATTGATTTTGGGAGCTCTGTCTTTGGAGATGCCATATTAATCGGGTGATTTTCAAAGGGCCATCTTCATACCATTAAAGTTATGATTGTCATGACTTTGACCCCAGAAGTGCAGCGCAGCACCAGCTAGCGCTAGCAAGGTGCTTGTGGCCACCACTAACTTGTATTGAGCGGTCACGTGGTTAAAGTACATGGTTAATCTCTTATCCTCCTTTGGTTTCTGGGACTTTAATGCATTCAAGTATTCATCTTCAATCACCAGGGCCTGGTTTTATGTGTGATTGCCATTAAGACCAAGCAGATTCACCTGTAGGTTCTTTGTTTGTTTAGTCTGATGCCACTGCTGAATATTCAATTTAAAAAAAAAAGTGCTTGCATGAAACAGATTTTTGTTTTCTTTCTTCTGTCATGAAATAGCCGAATTATGGAAACCAGCAGTATGGACCAAATAGCCAGTTTCCAAACCAGCCTGGTCAGTATCCTACTCCCAACCCTCCAAGACCCCTTACATCTCCCAGCTATCCTGGACAGAGGATGCCAAGCCAGCAAAACACAGGGCAGTACCCTCCACCCACAGTCAACATGGGGCAGTATTACAAGGTAAGAATTCCTAGGTTGTCTGATTGCATTCTGGTAGAAGTTAATGAATGAAATCGGATGAATGACTAAAAATGACTTCATAGATACTGCTTTTATGCAATTAAAGGAAGGAAGAGTTTAAAAACAATGTTTATAGTAATATCTTGGATATCACAGTATCAAGTCAGTCATGCTGTAACTTCAGAATAGTTTGTGAAGAGAACTGAGTGTTGCTGCAGCTCATTTGAGGCTATTACAGGAGAATGTTTGTTTCACTTTACATTTATAAACATGCTGAATTTAATTAAAGTTACGAGTGCTTGGAGTGTATGAATAAATAAGTACATAATGGGACTTTAGATCTCTTCATGGCACTCTTCAGTAAAACACCTTAGAAATTTGTAATAGACAATTTCCACATTGCAACAACTCAAGTTCTGACCTATAAAGGCCACTGTCAGATTAAGCCAGCCCGCAGTTGAAGGCTCTTGCAGCAGAATTCATCTTTAAAATGGTGTTTGCTTGACTTTTTCTCCTACCCAAAGGCCACTGTCAGATTAAGCCAGCCCACAGTTGAAGGCTCTTGCAGCTGAAGAATTCATCTTTAAAATGGTGTTTACTTGACTTTTTCTCCTACCTTTTATTCCTTCCTTTTTATTTTATTTTTTCTCCCCTCTGTGCTGGTTGTTTGGGGCAAGAATTAGAATTGTTAAAATATTGCATAAAACCTCTTTCATGGATATATCCTGAATACTTCTGATTGTCCAAACTGATTCTGTACTGAGGACCTTCTGAGGTTTGGCATCTTTGTTTGGACTGAGGGCTTCTTTTGCACACAGGTACTCCAGTGAGTATAAAAATTGGGAGGAGCATCAATGGGTGTGACCTACTCTTACAATATTAGCTGTTAAAGTCTCTGGCTTACGTTTGATTTTGAATCTAGGCTGAAAGAGTCTAAGGTGCACATTGGTCTTGAAATGGAATTGTTTTAGTGTGATTCCCACAGGGGCAAAAATGAAGAAGGAGTGCAAAAAATCCCATTTACCATACAGCATCTATTCTGCTTGCACACAGGCTGCCCACGGACACACCTGTGGGAAGACTTGTTGCACAGGGGCAGCTTTTAGAGTTCGCTCTCAGATAGACCATGTCAAGGTAGATAGTTCATCAGCCGCAGCGTATGTGGCTTCAGTGCAGCCACATGTGCTGTAATGGTAGCAGATGATCTCTCTGAAGTTTTAAAATGATGGATTTTAAAAATTTATTTTACATGCACTTATTTTTAATTGGATTTTGTGATTTCTGTTTATGGAATAGCTGTATCAGGGGACTCTGGTTTTTAAACAGTATCCCAAATTTCACATGTAAACTGTTCTGAAAACAGTGAGAAAATAAGAGACCTTGTCAAGAAGGGAAATTATCTGCTCTAGGGACAGAGTTCCAGGTTACCATGGACAGGACCTGTATCTTTGGACCATAAAGATTGCAAAGATGGAAATTGTGTGTGTTAAAGAAAAAAAGCAAAGATGATTGGGACCATAAATACTTAAGATTTCAGAATATAGCTCTATTCTTGTGTACTTTACAGTACCCTAGGCAAAATAGTGCAACTTTTAGATACAGAATCAGATCTGAAGCCCTGATGCTATGGATTGTCTGTAAAGCTTTTGATCTTCTGATATTGATGTGTGCTGGATGGTGGTAGACCAGCTTTCACAAGAAGATACCATGCAGTTGCCATTTTGTTCAATGTCAGCTTCACTGACATCATTGTTAGTTTATTTTGTTATCTGCAGCCTTCCCCTGAGCTACAAGAAGCAAAAAGAATGGTGCTTTAATATTAGGGCTGCTATTCATAATTAACAATAAATTTTGTTTAGGTTTGTCTTAACCAGCAGCACACTAAGAGAAAAGCAAAAGTGCTCTTTGTAGGTGTGAGGAATAAAAGATAGAAGATGAAGAGATGCACAGGGCTGCCTGGGCTAGAGAGGAGTGGAGAGACTGCAGGGAATGGCCGGTGGGTTGGAAGGAGAGTATACAATGGACTGCAATGAGGTCTTCAGCAGCCTTGCCTGGAGGTGGCCATTGCTTGAGTTAAAGTGGCTGGTCTGCTGGTTTCGGTTCCTGCCTCGCTCTTCGCGCCTGCTTTTTCCCTGAAGGCCCCACGGGGCCGTTCTGTGGTTTCTCATCCTTCCGGAGACACCCTACATAGCCTGTAGTCTTCAGTGTTTCATAGCAGTACAGTTCACAAGGCTTATGACTGTTATTTTCCAAGTGTAGTAACAATGTGATGTTATTTATTTTCTAGCCATCAAGGCCTGTACCTGTGGCAAATTACCCTCATTCACCTGTTCCAGGAAATCCCACACCACCTATGACTCCAGGGAGCAATATTCCTCCATACCTGTCACCTAACCAGGATGTCAAACCACCATTCCCACCTGACATTAAGCCAAATATCAATGCTTTACCACCACCTCCAAGTGAGTAGCAAACAGAACCCCCCTTAGCCATTTACTCTGTTCTCTGCTACGATGTTCCAGAGTCTGGAAGCGAGGTGGGATTGCTGCTCGGGGCAAGGGCAGACTGTTAAGTCCTGGGTGCTGTAGCCCAGCCACATAGCATAGGCTCCCCAGAGTGGGTGGGCAGGAAAGGGGAAGATTACTGTCCTCTCAACACTCCTAAAACAGAGTATCAGAAAAGTTCTTGAACTTGAAAGGGTTTTACTACTGAAGTAGTCCTTTGATGTGCTTCCTGAGGATAAAACACTTAATTTTGAGTTGCTTTACATGTGCTTGGTAGGCTTGTTTATTGTATAAACTTCCATTGTGGTATATTTTGCTCAAGGTCAAAGCCATTCATTGAACATTACTGCAAAATAGCAAAGACTGTGAATATTTATAACGGTGCCTCTATTGTGTTCCATACAGACTTCTTAAGAATATTCAGCAGCATGCCAAAAATTGATATATGTTCCTTTCAAAGCCACTCAACCTCACAGCTACATTTGGCTGGGGACAGTACAGGAATAACAAGATCTCTCTGGCACAAGATGTTTGAGGTTTTGAAGTGACTGATGAACAATAGGAGATACCATTTACTAGAAAATCAGGAGAACTCATATATTTTTTGTAAAAGGACCTCTGCTGCATTGGCAGTTTGCTACCAGTGCTTGGAGTTCGGGAAAGCTGACAAATGAGGTAGTGAAAGGTGACCTGCAATATTATTTGTGCAGGAACATAGTGTCTAAAGACATTTGGCCCCCAAAGATGAGCTGTAAGATATATACCATAAAACCTCCTGTTATGAGATCAATAGTAATTGAATAGGTATTCAATTACTATTCAATTCAAGGTCATTGGTCACTGGGTAGTTACAGCTGATGAAGCAGTTGAAACTAACTGGCCAGTCTGTGTCCCAGTTGAATTAGAAAAATAGCTCAGCATCACCATAGTTGGCCCCAGTTAAGAGCCTTGTTGTCACTCTTCTGCTAACAGAGTAAGCCTGGACACTGAACCTGTCCAGCAATACAAAACACAGGCTCCTGCCAGGTCTGGTTTATGTTTGTGGTCCAGGATGGTAGGATCCTACTGTTAAGAGGGGCAAAGTAGAAGACTGGAGTTTGCTGGAGCTATCAGCTTGAGCCCTGTCACCTGTATAAACAAAATAACGTAGTTAACCTGTGACTTTCTTCTTGTCTGTGTGAACCTGCTGAGTTAAACCCTGTAGCAGATCACTGTGCCTTTTCTTACTGTTCTGTATAAATACACACATTATTATTGCACTGCAGATGCTAAAGGGAAAGTTCACGCTTTCTCTCCCTCTTCGATCCCAGCCAACCACAACGATGAGCTGCGCCTGACATTTCCAGTGAGAGATGGGGTTGTATTAGAGCCCTTCCGGCTGGAGCACAACCTGGCAGTCAGTAACCATGTCTTTCACTTGCGGCCAACTGTTCATCAAACGCTGATGTGGAGGTAAGTTCAGTCATGCTGCGAGCAAGTCGTCTATCAGCAGGGGAAAAATGACAGACCAGATGAACTTCATTTCGGTCTGCCATGAATTTCACTTAAAAAATTGTGGCCTAGATAGAAAAAAAAATCACTTTAATTAAGCTCATAGATATTCCCACCTGTCACGTCCCAGAGAGAATGCATTATAATGTGCTTCCTGATTTATGTTGTGTCCCATTGCTAATAGCAGATTGCATGCAGTGTCTGGAAAATAATTGTAATTGTTCCTGAATTTCTACCCTGGTAAAAGGATGAGCAACGTGCCTAGATGACACCAGTATAGGCTTCATTTTTGTGGACTTTGAAGTCCTAGATGCTTTGCGACTTGTGAAATGTTAATTGCAGTAGAAACAAGGCAGGACCATTATAGTTTCTGCTGAAACTAAATGGCACAAAGTATCTAATAATGAAAAACGACAAATGGGAAAAACAGCACCCAAAGCAGAGGCTTGGGGAGGCTATTTGGAGATATAAGTGCTTAGATACTTTTAAACATTAGACACTAACTTCCTAAATTCCTGACTTCACAAGTGAGTGTGGGCCAGAAAGGGGGCACAGCTTTCCTCATGCAGAGTCTTAAAATGAGTACAACCTTTCAGCATGAAGGAAGTGTTTCCAGGTGAGGCTTTATCGCACATATTTTACATATTAGCCTGCGTGATTCAGGTTATGTGTTGATTCCATCATACTTGTAGAACGACTTTTAAGTCAAATCACAACCAGAGCCTTGATCTTTCTTTATTTTTCAAATACTGCTGAATATTTTTTTCTCGTTCTATTTTTATCAGAAAGTGTTTGGAATTGCCCAGTTTGCTGACTGTACTATGTGGATCTGTCTGTGTGCACTGTGGAGATCAGCTGGTTTCTTGGGTGGAGGTTGTTTTACAGGTGTAGCAGCTGAGCCAGTGAAGCCTCGTGTCTCCAGCGCGTTTTGCTGAACTCCATGCCTGCCTCCCGCTCAGCCTCTTTGAGCACGGTGCTCCTTGGTCTTTAACATCAGTAACCGGACTGGCAACTTGCACCTTAAGCTTTTTTCCATGCTGGGATCTTCTTCCCGCCCACGGGAGTTCCTTTGAGGCCCCCCGTGCCGTGGCGGAGCGCGGGGCAGAGCGGGGTCCCGGCGCGGTGCGTCGCGCGCCGGGGGCGGGCAGGGAGGGAGCTCTCACACAGGCCACGTCCAGCAATTAACACCTAACTTTGAGGTCAGTTATTGCTTACTTGCACTTCATTATCATGGAGTACTCGCAACAGAGGGAGTTTTGGCAGTTATTTGCTGGTTCTTATTAATAAGTAATCACTACTGGGGATTGTGCTGGCTCATTCAGTAGATTTATAGTGCTGCACTGAGGCATGAGGCTGTTTCTTAATATCTGCTCTTTCTTTCTTCCTTAGCTCACCAAACACACAGCCTTTTATTTAAACTTACTTTAATGAAGACTCATAGGTAAACTGTGTTTGGGTCTGCTGTTCTGGAAAGCTTGTTAACAGTAGGAGAAGGGATGGTCCTGAAATGAAGTCATTTCAAACTTACCTCAAGGCTGGATAGCTTCCAAAAAAAATGAATTAGTCACATGTGTGGATGGATTTCGTTTTTATAGAGAATGATGGAGCGGAGCCAATTCTGAATATTTTTCTGCCAGTTAAAATATCGGGTAAAACCTCTCAGTTGTGCACACGTAATGAATAGCAACACAACTATTTTTCTTCCCATTGGGGGCTCTTCCTGGTTATGAGGAACAGAAGATTGAAGGCAGGAATAACGATGCCTTGACTGGTTCAGTGTTAGCACAGCTCAGTTATGGACAACGTGGCGTTGCGGAGCCTTGTGCCTACTAAAGTGAGGGGCTCCTGATCCCTGTCCTTGCCATCACTTCCAGCAGACCTCTCAAGAGTGCTCAGGGATGCCTTTAATCTGTCTGGTTTTTATATTAGAGGCACCATTTTTTTGAATGTAGAAAAGGCAACACTAAGTCATACTGTCTATCCACTTAATTTATGATTAACTTAATCTCAGCCTCTGCTTTTCTTGCAGGCAGTACAGGCCTAATTTTAAAGGAGATAGTAATGAGTAAAAGAAAGATGGGAGAGAATCATCTTCTGAAAGAAACTCTAAATTGGGGAGATTTAATCCACAGTGTGTTAGCCTAGAATCACAGAAATGTGGGAAGTAAGAAATAGGAGGCACGTTATCTTTGTCACTCACTTGATCGAAGGCAGGAATAGCTGTACCTAAAAATGGTGTCCTTGGAAAGACTTTGTTCAACTGCTGTTTTAAATGCTCCCAAATAGCGAAGGATCCACAATCTTTCAATGCAAGTTCATGCTGTAGTTCACTTTGCTGTTCACAGCCCTAGCACGCTGAAAGGCCTGGATGACGTTAACATTTCCTTTCTGCAGGAGCATTCCACAGTCTGTTTGTGCAAAGTGATTTGAGGTGTTCCCTTGGCAAGTCCTTTATGAGTGTAAAATATTATTAATAATTTTGTGATGTGTTCAGGTATGTTTGGGTCACTAATTCATCATGACATGCTGCTTTTTTATGAAAACAAGTATGTTTTATGTTTTATTTACAGTAATTCCAGAATAATCTCATTGATCAGAAAAAATATTCCTAGCATCTAAAAGACCTCCCTTTGCAATGTGGAATAAAAATTGAAAAAAAGATTTATTGATTGTTTTACAGGTCTGACTTGGAGCTACAGTTCAAATGCTATCACCATGAAGACAGACAAATGAACACAAACTGGCCAGCTTCAGTCCAGGTCAGCGTTAATGCAACCCCACTTACCATCGAACGTGGCGACAACAAGACATCTCATAAACCTCTGCACCTAAAGCACGTCTGCCAGCCAGGAAGAAACACGATTCAAATTACAGTCACAGCATGTTGTTGTGTAAGTACATTGAGCTCACGGCTGCAGCTGCTGATGCTGACTCTGCTGTTCGGCACAGTTTGCAAATGTAGCCAGAGATGAAGGAGCCTTCCTCTCCTTTTTTCCATCCATCTTTCTGGGAAGGTGCTTGCTTGATAATGTTGGCACAGAGTGCTAGTACTGACATTTTTGCTGCAGAATTATTGCAGAATCTAGTGCTGTCCTCCCAGTGTGTCTGAAAAGAGCCATGATCCAGGGCAGGAAATGGTTTTGGTCTCCCACCTATTTAATATTTGCTTGTGAAATAATTTTTTTTTAGAAAAAAAGTTGCTAAAAGGTATGGATATAAAAGTAGAATATTGTGCTGCAGCCACTTGTCCACTAGTAACTTTGAGTAATTTTGTTTGCTTAAAGGATCACGCTGCGATGGGTTTGACACATAACTCATCCCCATCATTACAGGCAATGGTGAACTTTCCCCTTTCTCCTTTTGCGCAGTTCGGCTGCTCTCAGGAACAATTACTGTGGTTATAGTGCAGGCAGTTAAATGCATTACAGGGTGAGAATTGGGCTGTTCTGTTGTCACTGACAAGAAAGGAAGCCGCTACCCTTCCCAAGGTCACAGTGTGAGGAGGCACTTTGACAGGAAACCATCCACCCACGTTGCTTTACTTCACACTGACTCTTCTGTGCGTAACATCATTTATCTGGTGGCGAAGAGCATCCTATGAATCCACAATGAGCTCTTGCTACTCGTTGATAGGGAAGATGACTCAGTGAGTTCCAGATACATTAACAGTAAACTGTTTGTGCAGCTTCCAACATAGTTTGAGGACAGGCAGGTAGGGTAGATCATGTCAGGGAATCCGGGGATTTAAGAATAAACCCTGATACAAAAGATGAATGCATCAGTTCTGTATATTCTGAATATCAAGAAGAAGGGAAATGTAGAAAGTCTGTCTTTTTTTCTTTTAAAGCTATTATAGTCAGTGATAAGTCTTTTACATTCCTGCAACCTGGAACAAAGTACTGTGCAGCTTTCAGAATATCCCTTCAGCTTTGATATTTATGCATTACATTATTCCGAAATCACGCACGCGAGGAAAGAATGCGGCCCCATTCAGTAGTGTATTGACCATGTGTATTTGTCTCTGTTAGTAACGCAGTGTGTTTTCTTTCAGTCACACTTGTTCGTGTTGCAGCTAGTGCACCGGCCGTCAGTTCGTTCTGTACTTCAAGGTCTCCTAAAAAAGCGCCTCCTCCCCGCAGAGCACTGCATCACCAAGAGTGAGTTTGCGTTCCGCGCGCGGGCGCCTCTCTGCAATGCCTGTGTTCTGCTGTCAGCAGCTATTTCTGCACAATATGTGTTTGCTTGCTGAAAGCCTCCACCTGCACCTGTCAGGAATTTCCAGAAGTTCCTGTACTTAGGTTAATGTTGCCCCCCTTTTTTTTGTTGTTGTTGGGGATAACAAAGTAACCAGGGACACATGCTTGCAAGTAGGACTTTCTTATTCCAAGACAATCTCCCTACTTTTCCCCCATATTTGTATTTCACTTGCTCAAAATTCCTCCTGTGTTGAAAGATTCTTCTGTGTTCATTCAACACTGCTTTAAGTTCTTGTAAGGCAGTTACTTGGTTGAGGATGCAGCAGATAACAAGCTATCACATACATCCGTATGTACATGGGGAACGTTCTAAAATACATGAAATACACCGAAGTGGATACATTGTCCATTAAATTGGCCCTTAAAGGTTGAAGTGTTGGTCTTTCAGATTTCTGCATTAGAATTTCCAGTTCCCATGTGTTTTCTCACACATGCCCACACCTTCTTCCCAAACAGTAAAGAGGAACTTCAGCAGCGTGGCAGCTTCCTCGGGCAACGCGACCCTCAATGGGGAGGATGGAGTAGAGCAGACTGCTATTAAAGTGTCTCTGAAATGTCCCATCACATTCCGGCGGATCCAGCTCCCAGCAAGGGGTCATGATTGCAAGCATGTACAAGTGAGTAGATGTCAGTGACTGGACACTATTAGCTCAGACATGTTTTTACAATACCTTTTGCTTAGTTATTGTATGCACAAACCTAATGAAAAGGGATTTTTCTGTGCCTGTCAGCCTAACAAACTTTTGGTGGGGGGGAAAAAGTGAGGTATTTGGCTTAGTTTGCAATATTAGTATACTGACTTTTTTTCATTGTCACTTTACTTTTGTTGAATTGATTTGGTTGGTACAGTATTTTTACTTGATTTCTCCCCTGCTCTTTTTCTTTTTTCTTTTTTTTTTTTTCCTCCCTTACATAGTGCTTTGATCTGGAATCTTACTTGCAACTGAACTGTGAAAGAGGAACTTGGAGGTGTCCAGTATGCAAGTAAGTGCAAGCATACTACAACTGCATTTCTTGTAAGAACTTGACCAAAATTAGATGATACTGGTAAAGTTAGGAAAATTCCAATAATTATATTGACGAGCCAGTTCTCTACATAAACTACTACTTTGGGAGTTTGTTCTCCTTTAGATTATGAACCATAAGCAACCATAAGACAGCATGCCATGGTAGAAGAGCTGCTGGTCTATTCTGGAGTTACCTTTGTGTATTTTTCATGCTGTGAAGCCGATATTACTGAATTTCAAATATGTAGGTATGAAAATGTTCAGCATCTACCTGGACCTGGTTGTATAAGAGGCCAGATAACTCTGTCTCGGCTACTGCTCTTCAAGTCACATAGATGTGCAGTTAATGGAGGTTCAAGGAGAGTGAGAATTTTGGAGACCACAACATTCACTAGTAATTATGTGGGAAATGAAGTTGGATCCTTCAGGGATCAAAAGTCAATGTCAAGTGCAAATTGAAGTGTGAGCTGAAAGTGGGGAGCGTTCTCATTAAGAATAAGGTTGATTTTAAAAAGGTAAAAGATTTCTGAGAAATTGTGAATGTGAGTGCTAACGTGAAGGAAAAGAGGGATACCCTGGCATACTTTCCAGCTCATGTTTTGACCAGAGAGCTAATACGCCTCAAGAAAAAAAGGAAGCAAAAGCTTCGAAGTGGTTACAGACTGTCCTCTCTAATGGTTAACTGGATAGAGGAAGTCACAGAAATCTGCAAGCCAGTTGAGTGTTTGTAACCGACTGTGCCCAGTCCTCAGTTATGAGTTTTTGCAGCCTCAGCGGAGGAGCAAGTGCTCTTAGGCTCAATTCAAGCTATAGAGATTTGTACTTTTCTCTCTGCAGGTCTCCAATTCAACCTCTGCTGTGTCAGGCAGCATTTGCTATAAATAAGCAGGTGGGGATTGTCCAGGGTAGCTGCTTCTGTGGACATCACAGGCTTCAGACAAACGTCTTCTAAGGACCTCCCATGCTTGCTAGCTGTCCTAAAGTACAGATCCTTTCACTCGACTATTTGAACCCTTGCAATCTTCTGAGCTTGCCTTAAAATATCACAAGAATTGTGATAGTCTTAAAGACACAAGTTGCTTCTCTATTTATACAGTTAGGCCAAAGTTTCTGTCTTGTTACTATTAGTCTGAGCACCTGAATTCAGATTTAAGTGCCTGCGCAACTAAATTGTTTTTGCTTTTGTTTTTTCTGTCCCTACCTGTGCTGTTACTAAGTAAAAGCTGTAATATCTAATAATTTTGAAGCCCTATTACTATATGGTTCAAAAAAAAAAGATGTAATTTAAAAAAAAAAAGGAAAGTTAGCATTAGCTGTTGTTCGCTGGGGAAATCTGCTGTGTTTGAAAAAACTGTAAGTCCTAAATATATTTTGATAAAAGAAGGATTTAAAACACATGCACAGATTGTTCCTGGATACTAATAAATATATTCTTCTGTCATCTTCTTGATGTAGAAAACTATTATGCTGGTAATGGAAATGTAGAACTAAAACCATTTGTCCAAAATCATTCCTAAATTACGTGTTAGGGGCAGGAAGGCGGTGGTTGCCAGTCTGCCAATTTCAGCACTAACCTATCCTTCGTCTATCCTTTACTTTTACACCTACAGGGATATTCTAACTTTTTGTTTCTTTTCCCCCTTTTTCTAGTAAAACCGCCCTGCTGGAGGGCTTGGAGGTTGACCAGTATATGTGGGGTATTTTGAATGCTATACAAAAGTAAGTGAATTGACTCATTTCTGATATCCAATGCTAAGTATCTGGGAGGTATGTGAATGTGGGCTGACACACCTGAGCCAAAGTTGGGTCTTGGTGTTTGAACTTGAATATATTATTTGATATAATTTGATATAATTTGATATTATTTGATTTGAGCTCCTTGGTGCAGCTAATGAAATAAATCAGCCTCCATCTACTTGTCAATAGATGGTGTTTGGGCCATCTCTTGATGACCGTCTCATCAATGAAGCAGAGAGGAGAAAGGGATGGGAGAATAAAATGTTTTCTCATGTTTACAAGCAGTCTCTCTGATTCGCATATGACAGACCATATAGATGTGTTTGGATTTCATTAGTGTTACTCTGTGGGTGTGGATAAAAACAAGCATGAACTCTCAAAGCATTCCTTTTCCAAACTTGCTTCCAGGATACACTGCTGGTTGAAGAGATTGTGAGGATGTATTATACTCATGCAAATGGGAAATGGCTTTGTCTACTGTGCACTTTCTTATGGCAATTCAGCAAAGCTGATACCAAAAAGAGAAAAATTAATGCTCTAAAATTGTCATGTTATTTTACAGCTCAGAGTTTGAAGAAGTTACCATTGATCCAACTTGCAGTTGGAGGCCGGTTCCTATAAAGTCAGACATCCACATCAAAGATGACCCCGATGGCATTCCCTCTAAAAGATTTAAAACCATGAGTCCAAGCCAGATGATCATGCCAAATGTGATGGAGATGATTGCAGCGTTGGGTCCTGGCCCATCACCTTACCCATCCCTCCCGCCTCCTCCAGGAGGCAACAACTCCACTGACTATGGCAGCCAAGGTTAGTTCTGCGGTTCTGGGCGCTTTGGTAGTTGTTCCAGAGACCCTTGGTTCAGTCAGCCATGAGATTCAGGTGCATCCATGCCCTTCTGACTATGGCAGCCAAGGTTAGTTCTGCAGTTCTGGGCGCTTTGGTAGTCGCTCCAGAGACCCTTGGTTCAGTCAGCCGTGAGATTTGGGTGCATCCATGCCCTTCTCCTACAAATTGTCGAGGACAGCAAAATGTGTACAGCTGCAGTTCTGAAATCCTGCATGAATCCTTTCATTTAAGATTTATCTGTTCAGAGAAAAATGTCTTTTAATAAGTAAATTGGTGATAGTCATATATATTGCTATGCAGCCCCCAAATCAGTAGACATTAAATGCTACCTTATATACTGTGGCAGGTCACAGTATATATCTTTCCTCATTCTTTTCTCTCCACATTCCTTCTGCTCCCCCCTGATTCAAGAGAAGGTTCCTGGTAATGCAGTGGTTACAAAATAGAGAACGAGACCTTGCAGTCCTCTTGCTTGGGCCCTTAAGCTTCACTGGTGGCCAGGTGGTGCCATTAGGAATTATTCCAGGCCACCCAGAACGTGGATGACTTCTTAAGAGCCCTTTGCTGCTTTGCATTACAAAATGACTTCTGCGTTTCTCTACCGTGTGTTGCCAGTTTGGGAAACATTGCACTAAATATAGGCCATGGAAATATCTTTGCAGATGATTGGTATATTGTGAATAACTAAATTACAGCGACAATTCTGAAGAGATGAAACCAGAGACTGTTCCTTTTCAAGTAATATGATATGACTCAGTTCAGCTCTGAGAAAAGACCAACTGTTCACACCATCAGAATCCCCAAATTGATTACAAGGTGATATATGTGCTTTTTGCAGGCACTTGAGGAAAAATATAGATTGCGTGCAAAATATGGTTAATTTACTCCAATGACTGCAAAACTGATGACAGATGATAAAACTTTTTAGGTTTTCACACAGATGAATGATTACTATAACAAAGCCAAGAGCACTGAATCACATTTTTTTCACTCGTTTAGTAGGAGTGAAGTGCATTAAGAACATGAGAACAGAGCTGTCTATTCTTTATCATCTCCCCTGCCTTTTATTTGGGAGCAGATGCAGTAATCGTGTAAATTTGGACATAGGGCTTAACTGCTGCCTATTTGCCCACCTCCCGGGTGGGTCCTGTAGGAGAGGCAGTCGCTGCTTCCTGCGTCCCGACTCGTCAGCCCAGGGGAGACCCAGCCTCTTCTCCCTGTCCTGGGGCCGACATGGCCACAGGGCACAGGTTATCCCAGGTGTCCTGACAGCTCCGTGTCCGGGAGTTGGCACAGCTCTGGTCCCGGAGCAGGGCCTGCTCCTGGCTCACTGTAATCCTGGGCATTCTGCGTGCATCCTCGTTCTCCACCAAGACGTGCAAGGAAACTTAGGATTGAGAGTTATATCATGTCCTCTGATTAACGGCACTCTAGAGCAAATAATATTATTATTATTACTACTGCCTTGACATGCACGGTTTATGTTTATGTGAGTGTAGCCAAAAGCATACAGAAGTATGATTTGTAAAGAAAACAAATATGTGGTAATGGAGGACTTTACTCCAGCTCCCTGCTGTTACATTTTCCCCAGGATCAGTTACATTCTGAGACACATCTATTTGCAGATTAACAAAGTGAGAATTAGGAAGGCTCTACAGTATTTACATGATAGATCAAAGTCCTGACTTCTTTGAGATAGACTCTTACATGGCTAATGACTTATTCCTCCAAGATTAAACTTCTACTTAAAATGAGCTGTGCTGAAAAGTAAATGATGTAGATACTTCAGTCTGACGAAGTCCCTTCTTGACTAGAACATTTAAAGCTGTTCTACTTTAGCTGACAAACTGCGGGCTCTCCCTGCAAGCCCCAAAGCTATTCTATTATTTCAGAGCTCAATATCATCCATTTGAGTGGCTTATATGAAGACTCAGTGCCTTCATTTCAGTTTTTACTGTTCATACCAAATGAACCACCAGAGTTGGCCTCTCAGTTGGAAGTATTAACAGAGGGACCTGAACAGAAAGGAACATGGAGAGAAAATCCCCTGTACTCTGGTATATGTTTGCTTTAGAATTAAGGCAAAGCTCCCCAGCTGGGGTGGTGAGGACCACAAGGCTGCTGATCGTGTTCGTACGCGTACCTGTCCTGCAGGCAAGTGGAGGACTCCAGGCTTGTTACTAACTAGTAAATGTTTGAGCATGCAATCCAGACGTGTAGTCCGAATTCGTGTCGAATTTTGGTGATTTGGTCTCAGACTGGAGTTAGGCAGGTTTCATAAATTCAGTAATTTTCTTTTAGGAATTTGCATGTCTGCATTTTGAATCACTGGCTACAGGCAGTGGGTCGGTAACAATGAAACCCAGAAGAGTAGATGCATTCCCTGTAGGGGACCATCACTGTTTGGTTTGCAGACAGCCACGTGAATTTTGTTAAGATTTGTGACAACAAGGAGGACCTGCCACAGACCCCAGTTAGGCAGGAAGGCCTCCTCCGCATCACCTAAATGGAAGCTGCAGGTTCATCCTGAGGAGGAGGTAAAGCAGATGCTGTGCTGTGATCTGGTACTGTGACAGCTTTCTGATCTGCCAATTAGCTTCATCAGGAACTGAAGCAATTCTACAAAGCTACTGAGTGTGTGCAAGTGCATGTAAAAGGAACACAGATGTCCTGTGTATCACACGGGACCTGGGCAGGCAGTCATACTTGCACTGAGATGCCTCCAGTGGCAAATAGTCCACAGATTTTAATGCCGCTTTGACTCCTCGTCTTGCTTAAGATACTGTGGGGCCTCGGTAGTTTTTCAATCAGCAGCATCATGTACATGAATTACTATGATGGACTCCTTACAGTCTTGCCAGTAGCCAGTGCCACTTTTTCCTCCCTCCTCCTCAAGCTCGCCCCTGGATCAGAGCACGGCATGGTCGTGTTCCCCTTCAGGTTATTCACCTCCACGCGTCGTGCGAGGCTGGGACGGTGTCGGACCGAACGGAGTTTAAAAGATACTGTGGGAGATCAATGTCAGGAAGCAAAGGGTTTCTTTCACAGCAATGTCTGTTTCTCTTTTAGGCAACAGTTATCAAGGTCATGGCAATTTTGATTTTCCGCATGGGAATCCTGGTGGAACGTCTATGAATGACTTCATGCATGGGCCGCAGCTGTCTCATCCCCCAGACATGCCAAGCAGCATGGCAGCTCTTGACAAACCTCTCAGCCACCCAATGCAGGAATCTGTAAGTAACGGTGCTGCGGATGTCAGTTTTAACTTTGTGGGGGCAGAGAGCACTTGCCAGACTAGAGGACCTTGCTAGTGAGCTACTCTGGCCTTCTGTGGATTCCTGACTTCGGCAGTTCTTGAAATAGAGTAGTCCTGAGAAGTAGAGTCAGAAAACGCCATTTTCAGTTTCTGGCATTTTAGAGCTTGCGAAGAAGCATTTCTGATCATTTTGAATTGTCATTTAAACTTGTTTATCTGAGAGAGACAGCCTGGCTCTGTGGCTCTTTTGTTGATCGCTGTGCTTTGCTCTGACACCTAAAAAACCCCTATTTGTCATTCTCTAGACCAGCAGGGTCTGTGAACATCCATCCCAAACAAAGAGCTTGTTATAGCAAGACAGTAACTGACTTCAAAGCAGGGACAGTGTCTCTCCTGGCTTTGTCCTGTAGAGCAATATTTACATCAAAACATTTTGAGGGTGAATTCTACCCAGGCAGAATCACAGACATCTTTAAGCTCTTGGGAATAGGATGTGTCTGTAGCTTTCTAGGGGAGATGCTGCCACTGCTTTGAGAGTGTAGGCGAATCAAAAATTCAGAAGCTCCTCAGATCTTAGATGGAGAGGCAGAACTGTGCGTTGGAAAGGTTGCTTGCTCAAAACACCAAGTTTTATTTACAGAGCCTTATATCCAGAAAATGCAGCACTGCAGCAACTAGAAAAGCTGCCAGCAGCATTTAGGTCTTAGGCTTGGCTAGTCATCTCTTTTAACTGTGTGTGGTGTGTGTGTGTGTGTGTGTATCCTTTTATATTCATTTAAGTTACAGGGAACGGGCTCCATGGTGTGCTGTTATTGCATAGGAAGGATGTTTAACTTGACAAGTCATCTGTGCCATGTCTTTAGTGAGTACTAGAAAGTACAATTTCAGAATGTAATGAGGAAATGTGGTAGCAGATGCTTAGCACAAGCCTACTCTGTCAACGTCTCCTCTAGTTGGCAGTGGGTTTTCCAAGAAGGATGGTGAGAAATAGCAAGGGAGCAGAGAGATTCTTAGAATAGCTCGGAGAGCTCCCAAGCGACAGATGACTGGCTGCAAAGGAGGAGTCCAGGAGCCATAGTGGCTCTGCTGTGTTGCAGAATAGTAACCAGCAGCACCGGCGTGCTGCACGCTTGGGTTTGCTCTGGCAAACCCCGCACACCCAGCTGGACGAGCAGTGCCAATCATCTGCATCAGAACCAACTGTATAGTGTCAGGATATAGCAGTGAGGGGGATTGCTACCAGCCTGCACCATCCACGCAAAGCTGCTTTCCTTTGAATCCCAGCCACACAGGGAGACCTTCCTTGCCTCCCATCACAAAACGCGCTTAAAAAAAAAAAAAAAGTCCTAAGGCAGGGTCACCAATTGACTCATCAGCTTTAACTGCTGCACCTTTGCTAGTGCAGGCACCCTGGTGAATTTTCTGAAGTAATTGAGAATGGAAGTGAAAAACTTGTGGCTTTCTGTAATTTATACAGATAATAACAAGGGCAAAAGTTTCTCGAGACTCTGCATGTTGCAGACCTGTAAGGGGAGACTTGGGACAGACATTAATAGATTTTTGGTTCTCTGGGCCAGTCTGTAATAGGTCTGATACTGGCTTATGACAGCTGGAAGCTGCAATAAACCTTTGCCTCACTTCCTCACCCTCATCCACCACGATATGCCAGGCAGGCTCTTTGGGACAGACCCATGTCACTGAAGCAGCCTCCGTCTAGTTTATGTAATGGTTGATTTTCTCTAATAGAGATCAGTTTCCACATCCATTGCCACAGAGGAGTCTCACTGACCTTGTGAATGTGGCCAGAAAGTCTTCAGGGTGCGTTCGAAGGACGCTTAGTGCTTCAACATAGTTATTTCAGTACTATAAAGTCTCTGCTTTCCTCTTTCCTTTTTCGCTTTCTTCCTTTCTTCTCCTTGGAAAAAAAAAAAAAGCTGCCTGTAGCAGACACTCAAGAAACACAGCTTTAAAATTACTGCTTTTTGAGAAATGCATGACTTCAACACATTTCTTAAATTGAATGTCTTCAGGCAGGCATCTTTATATTAAAATAACTATAAATCACACTACCTAATTGGACTGTAATTTTAAGAGGCTGGCTGTGCTCTGTCTTGTTTTCTGTCTCTGTGCATTTAAGGTGTGTTTTGTTTTCATCGGCTGTTCACTTTGACCGTTTCATGTTTATAGGGTCAGTCGGGATCAGACGCTTGATCCGTTTAGCCCGGTGGCCTGTCTCTAGGTGAACCTGCTGCTGCTGAATGCTGCTGGGGAAATTGTAGTTTTCCTGTTATGAAGATTTATGCGGGTGCCTTCACACAGAGGTAGACAGCGCAGGTTGTTCACCCCAGACATACTCTGTAGGTCACTCCAGAGAGGCAGGCGTGTTTGTCAGACGTGACCAGGGCTGCTGACAGGGACTGGGTGGTTGGAACTATCTTCTGCCAGCGCTGGGGCCCCCCTCCTGTAGTGCAGGAAGGAGAAAAACCAAGACCTGGCATGCGGCTAGGAGGGAAGTATTACCCCCTTCCCCAGCGTCGAGTGTTTGAGAGCTGCAGAAGAGATGCCTCTGTGTCAGCGCAAGTGCAGCAGGATAGCAGCTACAACTGTGCCGTTTTGTTTTCAGAAATTACAAGCAAGTTTTAGGCATCAGTGAATTCAGCAGTGCAGGTGAGCGGGTAAGAGCTGGCACCCAAGCGAGCACTGGGTCCTCAGGCCGTAGTTTCATGTGCACGTTCAGCTGATATGAGCTCGTACTGCTGTGAGAGGACTGTTCTTGGTTTTGTTTTCACCTTTCCTCTCTGCTAAACCAACACGAGCATTATTGCAGCCATGAAGTGGTCTGGATCGGGGTACTGATACAGCGGAAAACTAATCCAACAAGCAAAAAGAATGTTCAGCTTGGATCCAGGGAAGCATCCCAGCACTCCTGCAAGTCATTCTTAGGCTTACAAAGAGCTGTGTTGGCTTTCTGCTGTTAAAGTGGAGATGTAGTTGTTTCTGCTAAAAAGTCATTAACAATCTGTAAAAGAAAAGTTTACAAGCGTGCCAGAGCATATGCTCTTAAAAAAAAATCTCTTTTTTTACTGTGCTGTATGAACCAAAGGCAACTTCATTAGACTTCACATCCACATCATAATGCAGAGTAGTGTTTTTAAAATAAAAAGATGAGCTGGAGATGCCCAGATGACATTGTTTTGAATAGTTCTGCACCACCGTGACCTTGCAGTTAGGTAGCTGAATACAAACAGAAAAAATGTTGAAGTCCTGAGCATTTAGCTTTCTTATAGGTGGGCTGGTCGAGTATGTCCCAGGGCCCAAGGGTGCCTGTCTGCCGATATATATGTATATATTTAAATACATATTTTAAAATATGTTTTTGTACATATAATACTTTATATAGTTTATAAAAAAACTGTTTATTATCTGTTCTAACTGAGAATATATGACTATCTCTTGTTTTTTTGTTTGTTTTTTTTTGTTTTTTTTTAAACAAACATGCCAGTATGACTTGTACTTTGTGTATTTGAGGATAAATTGAAACTTTCTCAGATAATCCTTTCTTTTTTTTTTTTTTTTTTTCTTCTTGGAAACTTCTCCTGCTCTAGCAACACTGTCTTAAATTGCTTATTACTTTCCGTTAATAGTAAACCTTCTTAACTTCCACACACTGTTGCACATGTCCTCAGTGAACAGAGGAGGAAGCTGTACAGGAAAGCAGTTTGGATGTGCATAAACTAGCCATCTACTTTGACTCGCACATTTGCAAAGTTTCTAGGCTGCAGCTTCATTTACACTAAGATATGTCTTACGGGCAGGTCTTGTACAAGTTTTCCCCTAAGGTAACAACAATAATAACTTTCAAGGGGTAAAAAACTGTGATCGAGATGGAGGCAATAGTGCCTTTGCTAGTACCCTTAACAATTCTTTTACACTCTCAAATGGGAAAGAGGCCCAAGTAACTGTTAAAGACAGACTCCTGCTCATTTTCACATTTATGCTGCTAATCTATTGCGAAGGACCTCCATAGAGTTGAGAATCACTGTCCCAATGTATCAATATTCAGTTTTCAGAAGTGTGGAGAGGTTATTTTTCTAAATGCCTGTTTCTGTGATTTCTTTATTATTATTATTATTTTGTAGAAACATTTTAATTAAGCTTTGTAATAACCTCCCTTTGACTTGCCAAAACTGAAGACTAAGGTTGAAATAACCTTGCCATTTGCTGTGACACGAAAGGGCCAATGCTGACATAGCATTTTGCTGGTTTCTGTTGGCTTGGCTGGATGAATTTCATGCTGTGGTTGTATGTGTCTGTTCTTTTATTTCAGCTCCACTTTGTGGCAATATGTAGCATTCCTCAAAAAATGTTTACATTTTTTGCTTCTCCATATACCCAATTAACATGAGACAGCTGATTCCAAAATGTTCACACACCGTTTCCAAAGACCGCAGCAGCGCGAGCGGAGACGTGGTGCGGAAGAAAGAACTGGGCTTGTGCGTTTTTGTTGCTTCCCTGCAATGTGGGAAAGATTTGCCCCCCACCTCCTCCTTCTGTAGTAGGATTTGGAGGATGTGCTTGCTTTGGTAGTTTATTCCACACAGAAAACATTAAAAAAAAAAAAAAAAAAATATTCTCCCTGTTCACGTGTCCCCTTGAAGCCGCCCCAGCCCCGCAGCAGCGGCCGGGTAGCTGCCTCACTGGGGCAGCCTCCGTGTTTGCCATCCCCTGACCCTGTGGGTATCAGCCAAGAGGATCTCCAGCCCTCACAGGATGTTACGTTTCCCCCAGGAAGCCTGGTGGGGAGTGGGCGTTTGCCACGTGTTTGTGACGACACGAAGCAGGACCGGGGTGCAGAGCTGCCGACAGGGGGACCTGACGCGGGGATTGCTGTGGTGCGGGTTCTGCGGCCGTTCGGGCTCTGCTCGGAGAGGCCGTCGCTCCCTCGCGGCGCTCGTCTCCGGCCGCGCTGGGTGGCTGCTGCCCATCCTGGAGCGCCATTTCCCACATGGCACGGAAGCAAACCGCCAGCCCGTTGAACTCAGAGCGCTTCCTCTGGCATTGGGATATGGAGTTTTCTTTTCTGATTGCTTTGTTGTTGTTGTTTTCCTTTTTGCTTTGTCGTTTTCTTTTTATATTGGTTTAATTTATTTCCTCGTGAACGTGCGGTCGCAGCGTCAGGCACCTCGAGCACGGTACCTTGTGGCCTCACTTTTCTCTTCCTGCTTTTTTCCTCCTCCGCAGATCCCTCATCCTGGCAGCACTGATCAGTCCCATAGTTCCATGCAGC